CCCAATGACCTTAAAACATGAGTCTGAGGCTGGCCCTCTACTCCGTGAGCTCAGTCCTGCTCTCCTGGCGAGAGGCTGGCATCAGAACCAACCCCGACTTTAAGACCATTAGAAACTGATGAACAAATAGATACAGAGGCAGAGCAACATCGAACAGACTGTCAAACTACAGCGGGAAGGCCGGGGAGGGTTGGGGGGGTGGGTAAGAGATCAACCGAAGGACTTGTATGCATGCATATAAGCATAACCAATGGACACAAGACACTGGGGGGTATGGGAGGCTAGGGGAAGGTCAAGGGGAGAAAAAAAAAAGGAGACATACATAATACTCTTTGTAATACTTTAAGCAATAAAACAATTAAAAAAAAAAAAAAGAACCAACCCCTACTGCCACTCCTCTGGTGCACCCAGCACAGTCTATCCCACAGTGTCTGTCTGCACTCAAGCTGACTTAGCTGAAAGGAGTGCCGTTCTCAGTGGATTTGTGACTCTGGTGTCACTGCCTTTAATGTGGAAAGGTAAGGTGAATAGCTATTTCCTAGGAATTCTGATCTGGCAGAACTTACCAACTCTGCTGGGAAGCGTAAGGTGATTATTCACAGACAAGTTTTAATTCATAACCTGCTGCCCATGTGTTTCTTTAAAACCACTAGCATTTAATCTGTTTAAAATGGTTCAGAGGTCAAATATATGGTGATGGAAGATTTGACTTTGGGTGGTAAACACACAATGCAATATAAAGAGGATGTCTTATAGAATTTTACACTTGAAACCTATATAAATTTATTAACCAATGTCACCCCAATAAATTTAATTAAAAAAATAATAAAATGGTTCTTCCATCTTGATTGACAAAAGGCATGTGATAGAGGTTAACAACATAGGCTTTGGGATTAACCCAACACCACTTACCGGGTTTACAACCTTGGACAAATCGGCTAACTTCTCTGAACCATCGTCCTTCTCTGGAAAATGCAAGGAGTTTCCATAAAATGCTAAAAGTATGTTGTTGCTGTCCGTCAGTTCTTAGTGTAGCATCTAACACATAGCAGATGCTCAAAAAATATGGAGGTTGTAGAAGTGATTATTGCGCTATTCATGTAAAGAATAACTAAGCATCATAAAGAGATTCCTTATGCATCTTATAACCTCTGTTCTTTCTCCCCGGTAGTGTGGAATTTGCAAAGGACAGCTTGGAGATGCAATGAGTGGGACGGATGTGAGGATTCGAAATGGTCTTCTAAACTGTAATGATTGCTACATGAGATCCAGAAGTAAGTACTGGGGTGAAATACTTGAGATAAGTGAGTGCAATAGTATGCCTTTCTAGGGCCCATTTGAGGAATTCAGTTATTTCTGCCTATCAGTTAACACTCCTACCCTGAGGGAAAGATTTATTAACATCTTCAGTAATTCCCAAAGTGGGCGCTACCGCCCCCCGGTGGGCGCTGCAGCGATCCAGGGGGGCGGTGATGGCCACAGGTGCATTTGGGGGTGATGAGTAACTGCTATTAAAATTTTTAAAAAAATTAATTTCCAGGGGCTGAGTAATACTTTTTCTGGAAAGGGGGCGGTAGGCCAAATAAGTTTGGGAACCACTGATAGATAAAGGAAGCAATAATGAAGTAACCCCTTAATTACCACTTGTTTTTTATTAGAAGTTACTGCTTGGGTGTGGCCAAATTCTTTTTATCCTGAAGTGCATTAATACACCAGCAGATAAAAACTGTGGGCCAAGTTTGAGGCATTGCCTGAGCTCACCACAGAGACTTGGGTGAGATAGAAGGCAGATATAAGGTCTGTAAAGCACTATTTGCTTGCCGAGGCATATCTTTAGAAGACCAGCACCATTGTGGGGAGGGGTTGAAGTGTGAAGAATGGCTCTCCAGTGTTCATCAAATCAAGCACCAGCGCCTCAGTAGCTTCATGTCCTACATTCAAGAGTTTCATGACACAATATTTTGTTGGTCCCAACTAAATTTAAAGTCCCAAGAGGCCAAATGATGGGTTCTGCTTTTTGTGAATCTCTGCCCTCGGCCAAGATACCTGAGCACATAATCAGAGCTGAACAAGTATGTGCTGTCTTGAAGCTCCCTTGAGCAGCCTGCCCTTGGACCCTGTATCTGGGTTTCCTACCATAGAAGGTTCATGTCAGTTAGTGGGGCACCAGGGGGTGCTGTTGCCCAGCTGCTGTTTAGAAAATCTGAAAATAGCCAGTGGCTAAACCTCTGAATCCAGCCTCTCTTTCCATCATAAATATAGCCCTTCTGGTGCATGGCCTAGACAACAAGCAACTCTTCTATGAAAATTCATTGGTCAGAAACTCTTTCTTTAAAAAAAAAAAGGGTGGGTGGATGAAGAGATGGTGTTTGAAATACAAGAATGTTTTGTTATTTCTCCAAGTAAAGGAAGTGACATTTTTATAGCTTTTTTTTATAGCTAATTTAGGGTCTCTAAATCTACAAGACTAAATACTTTAAGAGTAAAAATTGAAATTAAATTCTTTTATAGCTGTAGGTTAAGTATAATCTGAGAAATTTATACATTTTTAATAAAATTATGTGAAATAAAAATTTAATCAAATCCAGGTGATTTTGATCTATCATAAACATTTGACTTCAGAACAGTTCCAACTTAGAGATGAGCTGGTACCATCAAACTAGACTATTTATATTACATATTATATTTTTATATTATATACATTTATATCTTATATATTTATACCAGATATTATATATCATTTACACATGTAACATCTATGTTATATATTATATATGTTTATACCATGTATATAGAGCATATATAAACATAATCTATAAATATATATTTATACCAATATAATATATATACACATGGTATAAACATATAATATTAATATTGATACTATGTATCAAACATATAAAATCTGGTATAAATAGTATTATATATATATATACATATTCCATGCATACACAAATACCTATATACATGTGTAATATATAATATATTTTTAACTGAATTTTTTTGTCTTTATATATTATAAATGAAAACTAAACCCTTTATTCCCATTTTCAAGGTGATTTTTTCTATCATCTATAAATTATACTTTTTCTCAGCCAGCTGAGTGTGATCCATGGAACCAGAAGAGGGCACTGTTAGGTTGCAGGACTGTTGGGCCAGATTTGGAAAGCGCCATAAATCTGAACTTCCATAATTTAAAGTGCTTGAAGGATGCCAGCAGAAAGCAAACATGAACCCACCTCTGGGTGACAGTAACCTGTTTTCATCCAGATTTTTATTTTAATTGAGAAGTTGGATGATTCATTGTCATTTCTTTTGGAAATTAGCTTTTTGGATCTAGGCCAGGAATTTTTTTCCTGTGTATACAACAATAAGGGGCATTAACTGTTTTTAATTCCAAATCTAAAGACAAGAACTGTGGAGTTTCAGTAACAGTCTCAGAAGATGAAAAATAAGAAAATGATTCGGAGGTAGACTAAAGATAGGATTTTTTCTTTGGTTATTTTAATGCAATATTTTACTATGATTTTTTTTTAGAATGCTAAGATACTAAGAAGAAATAAAAAGTCTTACTATCTCCCTAGACATTCAAAAATAAATAAGTAAAAGTTATAAGTGGTATAAGGTTAGAAAATTGAATGTTCTGAAAGATACCAAATTAAAAATAAATTTTAAAAAATCCAAAGTTAACCACTGTGATCACTTTCTAATAATTGCTTGGGGAGAGGGGCAGAACATATGTTTGTATAGGTGTACACACAGACACACCAGATGCATATGTGCTGGTTTCTATTTCACAAAGGTAATTACATAATCAGTGTTCTGCACGTAGTTTTCCTTGCTGTTGTTTTTAGCTTAATGATATATCTTGACAATTTTTCCATATAACATGTCTTTCCTCCTCATTCTTTTCAATGGGTTTTTAATAGCTGCATACAATCCCATTATATGGATTTATCATAATTTAAAACTAAATCTCCATGAATGGGCATTTCAGTCGTTTCCAGTTTTCTAATCTTATTTTTTAAATGCTCCCATGAACGTCCTGCACATATGTCCTGATGAACATTTGAAAGTATTTCCTCAGGGGAGATTGTGAGCAGCGGGACTGCTGAGTTAAAGGCATGTGCTTTCTCATTGTCAGACAAGTTCCCAACTATCTTCCAGAAAAGCGCTCTCTCCCTGCGAAGTGCTTAAGGGCCCCTTCTCTCCATGTCTGTCAGCTCTGGATGTCATCAAACTTTTAAATTTCCACTCTGCTAGGTGCTTTAATCTGTATGTCTTTAATTATAAGTAAGTTTGACCACCTTTTCATACGTTTATTCACCATTTAGATTTCTTTTTCTATTAAAAAAAAAGTACTTTTTTATCCTTTGCCCATTATTCTATTGGCACTTGACTTATATGAGCTTTTATAAATTCAAGACATTTCCCTTTTATTTTATATTTGCTGCTTGTTGTGCTTATCATTCACCTTTCTACTTTATGATTTTTTTTTTCATAGAAAGGATGTTTACTTAGGTAACTTGACATACCTTTTTTTATTTCTTTTTTTTTGATTCTGTGTTTTGCATTCTACTTAGAAAAACTCTCACTACTCCAATGTCATAAATGTAGCCGAGATTTCTCCTAGGATTGTTTTTTGTTTTCTTTTTCACATGTAGATTTGTGACATCAGGATTGTATTTTGGGGTTAGAAATGAGATAAATATCCAGCTTCCCCCCGCCCCCCATTAGTCAATTGTGTGAATATAACTTAATGTGTAATCCCTTTTTTCCTCACTAATTTGAAATGCCAGCTTTCTCATAAACTAAGTTCACATATATATTTAGGTCTATTTCTGGTATTATATGTTTTATTAATCTATTTATTATCTCATGTCAAACAATTTTAATTATTATAGCTTCGTAATATGTTTTAAAACTGGGTCATAATGGCCACCTTAATTCTAATTATTTTTTCCAAACTTTCCTAACTCTACTCTCATGTTTAGTTTTCCAGATAAATGTTAATGTAATTTTAGGCTAAACTTTAAGTCCGCACATCACAGGGAGAATGACCAGCACATCTGAAAATACTGCTTATTTTTCTTCTTGGTGTCATAAGAAAAACATATATGTTAGGAGTGAATGGGTGGAGGGGATAATGATGAGCTAGAGAAATATAAATACACTTGAATTGGTTGACTATATCCCAGATGCAATAAAAGAGTCGGAATGGAAAGAAATAGCTAAAAATCATTTTTCTTTTTTCTTTATTTGATTTTGATCTGAGTTGAGAAGAGGGGAGATGGATAGATACGAGGGGTGGTTTACATCATAGGCATGCTAAGTGAAACAAAATAATTTCATTGTATGGAATAATAAAACCTGAATATATAATCCTATTTTCTTCAAGTAACTAGTCACATTGAAATGAAATTTTTCTCTTGGAGAGGAAAAATAGCATAACGGCATATTAAAATGCAATTCCTAAAAGCAATGTAAACAGTTTTTAAGTCCGTATGTAAATGGCAATGGACGCGCAAAACAAATTACCTGTCAGGGACCGAGCCGGCACATGTTTCACTTGTGCCATTTGCGCCTGGGCGTTGGGTGACTGTGTCTTTGTGTCTGTTCCATCATTCACTCACACGAAATGTGTTTAATGCAAAACCCCCAGGGTCGTTTCCAATGTTGCAGTTGCCTCGTCACAACTGTAGAGCCTAAAGTGAAGGAGAAAGTTTGTGAAGCTTTCAGCAGGAAATAGAGGACTCAAACTATCCTTCCTAGATAGGGATGCCAGATTTAAAAAAAAAAAAAGGACAAGATGCCCAGTTAAATATTTTTTTGCCCTGTTAAGTCTGAATTTCAGATAAATAATGAATTACTTTTGTAGGCGTCTGTTTCAAATATTGCGTGTTCAGGATTTAGCACTACTATATCCCATATATCATATCGGATAGACCCTTAGGCTAAAAGTTGTATTTGTTGTTTCTCTGACATTCAGATTTCACTGGGTGTTCTGTGTTTCTCATTGCTACTCCAGCAACCCTGTTTCTAGATCCTATGCCAAATGCCTCCCGTAGCAATGTCTTTATTCTTAGAGAAACCACAGCCTAAAGAAACTGAGAGAAGGGAGAGTATTTTCTTGCTTATTTGCCAAGAAGGCAAGGTAGAAAACTTGATGGGGATCATATGGTGTAGGGTGAAATCCAGAGGATTTCAACCAAATTTTACAGGGCATGTGAATCACTTGGGCTCCTGTGAAGTTCCGGGATGGGGCTCAGAAGTCCAGCTCCGGGTAATACCAATACTGCCCCTCCTGGGAACACACTGAGCGGGAGGGTGGGGCAGGTTTTCTTCCCTAGAGGGAAGAGGCTTTGGCAGCAGACATAGCTAATTTGGGAAACCTTTAAACATCTGAAGCAAGAAGCATTGATGACTTTAACCAAATGTCGCTCTGATTTCTTTATCACAGGTGCTGGCCAACCCACAACATTGTGACATGGTTTTCAAGACCCCAGATCACTCACCACTTCTCTCTTGAGAGTGTCCCCTGGCAATTGTTTAACAGAATCCCATGTTCAGGGGCTTCTCAGCATTCATCTAATTTCTGAAAGGCTATTCTAAAAGGTGGTATCTGTTCTTTCATAGCACAGTGTTCGTGTTTTTCCTGTTCGTTGTTTTTCTCTTTTTTTTGCATTTGCACAATATATACAAAAGAATATTGAACTATAATGATTCTGACTAGTTCAAAAGAAGGTCTTAGCATGGTCAAACAGGCTTATGGTTTAAAATGTGTTATTCTCTTCTTTGGGGAGTTGATGAGATAGATGATTCAATAAACCTGTTTTGTTTTAGTATTTCTAGGAATTAAATACTTTGTGTTTACAAAATTGAGCTGCAGAAAGTGCAAGACATGCCAATTTGAGACACGGGGTCTTTTAAGACAGGAGCTTACAAGTAATGCATTTCAGATACTAAAAACCACATCATATAGCTCTGAGCTATAACTTGTTTTTAATGCAATGACACTAGTCTGATCATATATACTGTAATCCTGAAACATTTGTGTTACTTACCTTTTGAGGCAGAAGTCATACCAATAAATTATTGCACCGTTAGTATTAGGTTTAGTGTGCTTTGAAGGTTATGTCATTGATAGAGCCTGGGACATCAAATAAAGAGAACCCTTGCACTATCAGCTAGACTTACACTCTGGACATTGCCCAAGGGTAGGGGAACCCAGAGGAAAACATTTTGGTCATCATTTCCCAAGTCCTTTCCAAAATATGTGAGGAAGTTTGATCTTCAAAAGAGTGGTGGGCCCATGCCAGCCACCAGGGCTTTATTGCTTGCTCCTCTTCAGACTCTACATTCAATAAAAGACTCAGCATAAGGCATCCGGAAACCCTCATCGAGGTCGGTCCTTCATTAAGTGAAACCACTGCTCACCCTTGCCTGCAAGGTCTCCTTGAGGGCACAGGTGTCTAAAGAACAGCATTAAGTTCATCCTAATAGAATCCAAATGGCACGTGATGGGATAAGCCACTGGTGTGTCATCAGCAAGAACCTGCAGGTTCCATGTGCGCTGCCCACCCTAATGGACATCTGCTCTTCCTCGTTCTCCTACATCACCGGCTCTCTCTGCTCTCAAGAATGCTGAACCTTGCTCATGGAGACCTTCAGAGAGGAACTCTTGTGGCGAGCTGCTTACTTTTTAAGCCCTGTGTGGTGTTTCAGCGGGCCAAGAGGGGAATCGAGTGACTAAAAAGCATCACGTTTTAAATCTCCAGGTTGTTTTCTTTAAGACTGGGGAAAGGGGGACTATTTATTCTGCCTTGAAACGATGGCAAATAAGTGAAGAGGACCTTTTGTGAATGTAGACTGTGGATGTCTGCCTAATAGATTCATGTAGTCATTAAAGGAGACCAAGTAGATGTTCTTCTGTTACGTAAGCAATAATTTTTTTTCTGTCTTATTGAGTATGGCTAGCAATTATTTATTGGTTCTCTGCATGTGGGTTCCATATAAGTGCATAAATTCCCTCAGCCACTGGAGGTATTTTGACCATTTTGTCATTTGGATGAGCTGCGGTTAGATTGAAATTCACACATCACTTCATTAAAAATTGTGCCTTAGAAAATGCAAAGCTGTTGCACACAGTATGAATTATGGATGCAGTACATTGAAGAGAGATGAAGTCACTTCCAAGTTCCCAAGACTTCTCCTGGAGGTATTTGCTGTTTTACAGGGAAAAATAAATAAAATTAAAAAAAAGAAAAATAGAAAACATTAACATGAAAAAAATTTTGAAAATGTACAGATTAAGTTCAATATTTTGATTAACCACCTGCATGTTTTATTAAATATTTTGATAATGTGATGTTTACACTTTGCATGATATTAGCAGAGTACTTTACCAGAAACAATGCACAAAAACATGTACAATACGATCATTCATAACCCATTTTTATAGGATACTTTTTACATGTGGAACTCCATCCGTTATGTAGGGATTATATGAATATTGCACATTCTCTTCTGGTTTCACAGACCCATTTATACACATTTCTTAGTGAGACTCATTGTACATGTATTGAAGCTAGAATCGAGTCAAGAAAAATAAAGCCCATTCTCTGACTGCGAGATGTGCTTTCCCATAATGAACAATAGTCACCAGCACAGAATAATCTCCAACATTTTCTAAATTCTAATTGCCAACTGTTTCTATTTATATTTGATTTATATTTCATTTGGAGTCTGTTACATGGCAGCTCGGGCAGACTAGATCTTGTTTTTTCCAAGGCAGCATAATGAGTATGATCTATTTCTTTTCAAATAATCTTTGAGATCCCAGGGGAAAAAAAATGCTCTGTTCTGTGGAGCTACTATGTAAATGTGTTTGCTTAAAAAAAAAAAAGATGATGCAAGTGAGTGATTTATTGTTCCCAAGGAAGTACGTCTGACTTTTTTTCTCATACTCCAAAAGCCAGTCCCTTCTCTTTCTTAAGAAAAAATGGGTAACTGTTATTCACTAGCAAACTTTCATGCCATTTCCTCATTCTTTCTATGTAGTGGTATTAATGCAATACATATTGTAGTTATCTATACGCAGTGTAAGACTTAACGAACTGAAATGATCCACCTCATGTGTGAGTCCGTCCAAAAGATGTTACTGTTCTGGGTGGGCCAATGTTCTGTATCAGTTACACTAACCTTCATTTAAAATATTTATTCTAAAATGCCTCTAAGAAATAGTAAAAAACAAATAAAAAGTTGTCTAAAATGCAACAGCTTTTATAGTAAATGTACATTTATAAATAAAATACTCAAATCAGCTTTGTATTCCATTGATGTTTTGTTTGTTTTTTGGAGAGGGGGGCAGGTTGATTTTCTGACTTAGGGAAGAGAGAATCAAGCTTTCTACTATAGCTTTTGGTCCAAGGTTCCATAGTCAGATGATGGCAAGGATGCATATTTGCATATGCATATTATGTATTTTTGAGGTCAACTCAGATTTACCAGCTAATTGCAGGAGTCACTAAGGAATTGCCTTCCACTGAAGGACTCAAACACCTTGAGATGAGGCACATAACCAGGAGAGACCAGGCAAATGCCAGTGGAAATGATCTGAAACAACCAAATGATGGTCACCTTCCAGCACTGGCTAGAGAAAACCAAGCCAAGCTCTTGAACGTGGCTGTGTTCTGCCACTTTCCCCAGCGCTGCCCCCAAGATTCCCCTCTCACTGTACTGTTTGTTTCTCAGGGGTCTTTTTCTTCGTTGTTGAACCAGGGAATAAATGTTGCAAAACAATGGCATCCTGTGACACAATTGCTTTCCAAAATACACTTGTAGACCTGGCCAGGTAGCTCAGTTGGTTAAAGCAAGTTGCAAGTTCAATCCCCAATCAGGGCAGTTGCAAGAATCAACCAATGAATGCATAAACAAGTGGGACAACAAATCAATGTTTCTTTTTATCTTTCTCTCCCCATCTCGCTAAAAAAAAAATCAATAAAATTTTTTTAAAAGAGGGAAAAGCAAATTGCACATGTATCTTTACTGGCACTCTGTCCCAAATTTGTAGGTGGTGGTGAGAGCAAGCAAGTTCCTTGGAAGTTTTTGTCACTTTATGATGCAATATGCCAATGGCCACTATGAGTTGTATTCTGCTTTTTTTGGCAACTTTTGGGAGCTAGTAGCTGCTACTATTTCCATAGAAAGGTAAATTCTTTGTCTTTCATAAAAGAGTTTTAGTAGCTACCAGAGTAGTTTAGTATATCTATTGCTATTTAAATGAAAGTTCACTTAATTATAATGCATTTCAAAACAAAGTATAAGAATGTTATTCTAACTTGTGATCTACACTTTCTTTATCAAAAGAAAAATTTTACTAGCTCTCTTTTCATTGGTTTTCTTTAAGACCTAAAGGTGCTAACCTAGACCACAAAAGGATCCCTCCTCATCTTTTGGCATTAAGTCAGGGGTTACAAAGTCAATGACTGTAAGAACCAGTCAGGCATTGCAAATGAAAGCCAAAGGAGATAATAAAGAGCAGTATGAGCTACAGCAAACAAAGACAAGTTCTCCAGAAAGAATGGAAACAGCAATGTGGCTTTAACCAATGGTCTTCATATGAAAGCTCCAGCTTTTTAAATGTTGACAACAATTTCAAACATTTCCTGACACAATGCCAGTCAAAATTGTGAAACTCCACAAAATATATCTGCAAGTCTAATTTCATTCTTAGGCCACCAGTTTACAACCTGTAGCTAAGTCTTCTCTTCATTTTATCAATCAGCTACTACTAACTTGCTCTGCTGTGAATCCTTTCATTTGACAAATATCTCTATATATAAAAGCCTAAGAGACCATCCGACCGTCTGACCGGTAGCTATAATGCACAATGACCACTAGGGGGCAGATGCTTTGACCGGTAGCTATGACATGCACTAACCACCAGGAGGCAGATGCTCAATGCAGGAGCTGCTAAGCTGTGGTGACTTGGCAGCTGCGGTTCTCGGGTGACTCACCCGGAACCAGAGAAGAGGAAGCCTGATTCCAGGATTCCAGGGTGCGTCACCCCGAGAACTGCCCTCTCTCAATCCAGGACCCCTCAGGGGATGTTGGAGAGCTGGTTTTGGCTCGATCCCTGCAGGCCAGGCCGAGGGACCCCACTGGTGCATGAATCCGTGCACCAGGCCTCTAATATTAAGAAATGGGCATACAAAATATGTGTTTTATGAGTGTCTTGGGTCATTAAGAGAAAGAAGCTAAAAGAGACATTAACTATCAGGTATTGCTACAATTCATTAACACTTTTAGTAACATTATTTATATATTGTCCTCAAAGACTGCTAGTTTACAAGCACCCATGTTCAGTGTTTGCCCTTCCCCTTCATAGTTTTTCCTTCTTTCTTCTAAGTGACTCAAAAAGAACAGAAATTGTCTTGGCCATTTTTAGACCTGACCCATGATTTTTAGGATAAAATGAAAAGTTTATCTAAAATACCTCTTGGGATTTTGATAAAAAATGAATATATAGATCATAATTTTCTAATTGGCATTGTTAGTAAGAATACCATTAAAAAAATTTTGTTTTGTTAATCCTTACCGGAGAATATTTTCCATTCATTTTTAGAGAGAGTGGAAAGGAGGGGGAGAGACAGAGAGAGAAACATCGATGTGAGAAAGACACATCGATTGGTTGCCTCCCTCATATGCCCTGGTCAGGGTCAGGCATCAAGCCCACAACTGGTACATGCCCTTGACCAGAATCAAATCTGGGACACTTCAGTTCCTGGGCTGATACTCTATCCACTTAGCCAAACTGGCTAGGGCCCATTAGTATTTTTAAGTTAGTCTTGGACCCAGAAACTTTGCTGGACTGTCTCATTAGTTCTAACACATTGCTTATTGCTTCTCTTGGATTTTCTATGTATTCAATCATCATCTACAAAAAATAAAAAAAGATCTCATCTCTTTCAAGTTATGTCTTCATATTTTCATGTCTTATTGTTAAGATGCATAGTCAACAGTGATCATGGGCATCCTTATCTCACATTGTTATTCCATAGCCAAAAAGAAATGGAAACCATCCTAGATGTCTAATTTCATATGTGTTGCATTACATGTGTAACTCAGTGTCCCCAGTTTTCAAGACTTACAGGATTGAGCTTCCCATAATATCCAGTATTTTCTATTTCATTGTTCTACCCCATCCTTCAGGACCATGGAAAGTCCAGTCCTCTCGGCAGTTATTTCTGATGATCTCCAGTATATTCTGGTTTTTGTTTTCCACCTTCCATGCTTGACAGCTGACCCAGACTTCTTCAGTCAAGTTTCCTATTTCTAATCCCCAAACATGAGCGTAACCCTACACTCTTTACTCTTCAGGGATCAGCTAATAGATAACTCTGTGGTTTAATAAACATAAATATGCCTGAGGATAGCATAGCCAAATTGCAAGACAAGAAAGAAAAACAAACTGGAATTCACACATCATTGCTCTTAAAATCCATAGGCCAGGCCTATTTGCAGAGAGCCATGTCTATCCTTCCTCCTTAGCTCCCAGCCTCTGGCCTGCTGCTGCTGCTGCTAAATTGAGGGACACACTCCTCTCAACTAGAGTTTCTCTTTCATCCTCTCTCTCCCCTCCCCTCATTTCTCACCCCTGCCCCCTTGGAGTGTGCCCTTGTATCAGAACATGCTAGAGGAATTAGAATCCAGCCAGCTAATGTTCCAATGATTTCTTAGGGCTATACTCAGCCCACAATGAAGGCAACCTTTACCTTACGAAACATCTTGGTTAACATCTAGGAGCACAGACTCTGCAGTTGGAATGTCCAGGTTCAAATCCCAGCTTCACCACTACTACTTATGACCTTGGGCATGTTGTTTATCTTCTCTTTGCATCGTGAGGATAATAATAGAATATAACATCATGTTATTGTAAGGATTAACTAGGATAATGCATTTAAAATAGAGATATTCTAGCA